TCCCAAACCCAACTGGGCAAAGCAGAAAATTACATATCAAGCAGCTTTCGATTTTAACCTTCTAAGTCCTAAAACGGCATGAAACTAAATCTATTTCACTTTTCAAAAAGAAATTAGAACGTATACTTTAATTGTATTTTAATACAATTAAAGCATACGTTCTAATTCATACGTTCTAAAATCAAAATATCAAAATATTTAAAAATATTTTGATATTTTGATTTTATTATATGTTAATTTGTTAATAACTTATTAGTCACTTGCCTCATCTTAATTACTTCGAATCCTCAATTTAAGACGAAGAAATCTCGCTCGCATCTCTAACTTTCTATACGGCGTTTTCGATGTTTAAAAACGATGCTTCTTGTTTTGCTAAGTGGGCACTGTTGAGTTGATTAAAGGGAGCAGTGTCGTGAGATCAACATCACCTAGAAATTGAAGGAACGACCTAAAATTGATGTAAAGGTAGCCATACCAAAGAAGTAACAATTACCAAAAATAAACATAAAAGGTTACTACTGACAATTGTTAAGACAGATAACAAACGGCGAACTTGATTTCCCTATGCAAGGTTGCCGAGGTTGCAAAAGACCAAGAACCATTCCTAAATTAATTACACCCCGGTCCCTCCCACTCCAATTTCCCGCCACTCCTAACCTCCTCCTGTGCTATTAATGAATGGCTACCTAATGTAATTGCATTTGCCGATCCCTTGACAAGAATTTAATTCAGTAATACTAATCATTGTCCTTTTTTTTTCTTCACCGGATGTGGTAGATATTTTAGTTAATTGCCTGAAGGGATTTTGTTGAAAGGATTTTAATTGAATGGGTTTTCTGAGTTTAATATACATTTTTACATTTGCTAAAAAAAAATCTCGTATAAAAAAAAATAAAGCCGTAAATTTGAATCTTTCTCCATAGTGTTTTTACCTTGACATTTTTCGTATTATTTTTTGCGACCTTTTTTAATTTCGTCTTTCAACCCCAAAACGGTTTGTTAAATTTGGGCTTGAAAGGGGAGAATTTCAGAAAACTGAAACGTTCATAAACGGCAGCTTTGACGGCGGGAACCACGCAAACGTATAGTTTTACCCCTCTAGAATCAGGTAATGCCCACGGGCGTTCTATCCGACAAGACAGTACTCGCTAAGTTACTAGTTACCTCTCGAAACGCAGCTTTTGACTTTTTCCCATATTTAATTTTTCTCAGATGAATGAACAACAATTTACCTTCTTACCTGGATTTCAGTTAGAAAATCACACGGAGAAGTAGTTTTTAATTTTAATATTATTATAATTATTATCAAACTGCAGTGCCAGCATGTTGTGTTACATCTGCTGGCCTGGAATGTCTGCAAAATGATCTAAGCTCCTTACGAATGTCTCTCTTGAACATAGCATAAGCTATCGGGTTGGCAGCCGAATTAACGATTATTAGAAAAGTAATGACGTGAAAAACTTCTAGAGTTGGTGTCGAAGCGTTTAAAAGAAAACGAACAACACTGTACAACTCTACGCAGTAACAAGCCAGAAACACAACAAGTACAATGATGATAACCATTGCTGTTGAAATCTCTCTGTAACGTCGGCGGTAGGCGAGAGGGATTCGCAATTGAGCCCGAAGGCGGGCATTTTGCCACCAGTGCTTTCTGGCTGTTAGCATGATCTGTATTGTGATGATAAGCAAAAATAAGCAGGGAACAATCTCCAATAAAATCATTTTGCTGGAGATGAGAGCTTTGTTTGTCAAGTTGCATTTTCCCAAACGTGCGCACAAGGCTGGGAAGAAGTCCAGTGCGAGTGGAATAATCCAAGCCAAAGCGACGAGCAAGGCGGCACGCCGCGAAGACATCCATGCAACGTATCTCAAAGGCTTGACAATGGCGATATAGCGATCAACTGACATAGCACATAAGTTGGTAACGGAAGAATAAATCGCCAGCACAGCTAAGTCGTACCCGTACCCGAAGCTATTTTCGCAAAAGGCAAGTTTTCCACAAAAGAAGTATATGGGAAAGTAGATTAGTCCAACAGCGAAATCGGCCAGTGCGAGCGATATGACGAACCCGTTAGGTAATGTATGAAGTGAAGTCTTTGAAATGATCATGAATATGATCAAACCGTTTCCAAATATTGCCACAGCGCTGGGAAACCAGCTAGCGATGAAAAACCAAGACGCCGCCATACTCAGTATGTCGTTTGATTAATAATTATCTTGCCGCTCCACCGGTGCTTTTACTCTCTTTAAAACTTCAACGCTCGTAAAAGGATGGAGGAAATCATTAAAAACTGATTTACTTTTAGCTCGCAGGATAATTCGTTTGTTTCTTTAAAAACGAGATTAAACCACCTGCTTAAATGTAAATACGGGAGACAAATATTAAATAGCGCAGTTGTATCCCGTGATCTAATTAGCTTTTGGAAACTCTCTTTCATCGGGAAAGCAAAGCAAAGCAATTCAAAGCGTTATTTAATATCACGTATTCGATATCACGCAACATCTGCTAGCGAAAAAAAATTGAACTGATTTTTGTCTCAGCTGAAAGCTTCATATGTGTACAGGGGCGTGAAGTCGTGTTCTTTACATACACCGCAACACAAAACAACAAACTTCAACCAACCAAAAAAAAACAAGAGATTCTGAGGATAAGATATATTTTTGGACCTTTTGAGCTAATTTGCAAAGTACAGGGGAAAAAGATAAAAGGAGAAAGATGAAATAGCAGTGTTCTTAGATAAGGCTTAATGTATGCGTCACAAATCAATCACGTCAAATGTAAATTTGAGAGGCAGAGAATCTCAGTCGCTTGCATTCAAAGATTTGAGCACGTCGTTTTCAACGTACCCAGCAATGTATCTTCTCCGTATTTAAATAGTGTGTCCAAGAGGGTACTGTTGAGTTGATTTAAGAAAGTGATGTAGTGAAGCAGGAGCCCATGACCATGGGCTCCTGAGTGAAGTCAAAATCACCTTCAAATTGAAGACAAGACCGAAGAAAATGATATTATTCAAAGGCAATTCAAATTAATCAACACAAAAATGGCTACTCACGCTATTGAGAGCTTGATTTATATGGATACCAAACGGCAAACAAAAACAAAATGGCTTTGAGGCGTGGTTCTTTCAAAGCGACTTCAGCGAGATATTAAATGCGATTCAAATGCGACGACCCAATTTTGGAAATTTCAACTCCCAGCTTTTCAAGCAAGCGGGAGATACTGCAAAATACTTTTTGTAAAAAAATTAACTTATCCCCTAAAGCTTTCAATATAAATAAAAACGAGATGTAGAGAAAACAGACGATTGAAACCTATTGCAGAAATCCTAACCTATTGAAAATGCAAACATTATGCTTTTAATGCTATTAGCGGTGTTTGTTAATGAAAACAGCAATTAAAATATACTTCAATCACGTGGGTGGCGGTGACATTATTAATGCTGTTCTCGATAATAAAAGTCACGGAATAACAAATTTTATAGATGTTTAATTTTGTAGATGACAAAGCAATTTAGCCCGCTTTAATTTATATAGTAGTACCGCACGAAAAATACACGGCAACCCGTTAAAACCATGGCTAAATTAAAATCGCTCAAATGGAATACAGAAGCGCTAAAACTGTAGAAAAAGTATGTATAACATGGAGCTAAGAGGAGACAAAGAGTTTTCAGAGTTTTCAATCCAATCTCAAATACAAACCCCTATTAAAAAAAAACTCGTTACAAACTCCTGTAGTGTATAGTTTTAGAGCAGGATTTCAACTTTGCAAACATTGCTTTCTGTCCGACCGAGAGCGAATTTCCTCAGTTCCTAAACGCATAATCATTATGGTAATGGCGTCCTATGACCCCGGCCACTCGTGAGTACGATTTGAATGGAAACAGCTGTATGTCAGCACAGTCAATCAATTTGCAAGCAAACTCTAAATGTTGGACGAAATCTCATTGTGTTCCCTTTTCGGTAATCTAATATTCTTTTATTGTTATCATTTCCATTATGAACTGTCAAAAAGATGCATTTTAATTAAAAGCCGATAGAAACAGGACAAACATAGTCTAAAAATTTAGCCGGCGGAGCCTCGGCACGAGGTAAGGGTGGTTCTGGAGATGCATCATTTGATTGGCTGGATTCTTGAACTAAGATTTTCAACAATTCAAGCCTGATTTATCTCCCAAACGTATCCACTAATTGGTCTGTAACCTGAAACTTTTTAATGACAGCGCATCGAGTAATTTTAACAGAAGGGAATTTAAGAGTGGCAGGCTGATCGGGGGACGAGAATGAGTATTTTACAATAGAATACAGTTAGGGTTAGATAAATTATGCCGGCATAATTTCGAGCATAATAGTATGGTGCGAGCATCGAGCGTAATGCCAGCATAATGGTCATGTTTAGGAGCAAAAAAGTTGATAAAATTATCCTGCTAATAAAAGCATCAAAATAATGTGTTTAAAAAAAGTCAATCGTGGGCTTTGTGGCTGCTTTATGCACTTATTTAGCTGTGTTGAAGGCCTGGTTTTCCGTTTGAAGGCTTGACTACCTTACTACCCAGGCAGTTTTCACTTGTCATGAACCGAACTGAAGAGACTGCTGACATTTAGCTCTTGTTGCTCCATATGAGAGCATTCTTATTTCAAAGGCGTTGTAGTTATTTAAAAGAAGGACATTAAATAGCATGTTAGCCCCTATTTCGTCTTTTTTTTTTTTTTGCGCAAAATTCACCCATCATCTTTGAGCATAATGCTAGGGCACGAGCATAATTTCGAGAATAATGCTATGATTTTAGGAGTGACGCTCAAAAGCATAATGCTCAAATTTTCGAGCATAATTTATCTAACCCTAAATATAGTAAGTAAAACCTCGATGATTAACTTCTGCTCTAATCTGCAAACAAAAAGAAATGTTTCTGGAAAATATTTCGCCACATTATTTTAAAAGTTATATCTTTAAAACGTGTAGCCAGTTTCGAATAAGTATTATTATCACTTTGTCGGACATTGTGGCGCATTTTGCGGGTTAGAATGGAGAATTTGGCTGGCTAAAATGAATTTTAGCCCGCTGAAATAAACCAATGAAAACTGAGAATCAAACAATCGTATGATCTAAGCAGCCAATCAAAATCAAAATCAAAAAGCCATTTATATTACAATGTTCGCACCACTATTGTGAAAGAAATCACGGCGCTATTTTCAAGTGAAGTCAAGCCAAGTGAAGCGTACCCCTCAAGATTACATTATGAACTGATTATTTGAATATTAAACTCGCTAGTCATTTCAAAAATCAATATTAAATTGATATTTTAGAACATTAAATCCATTAGCCGTATTCTTGGAACGACTGGTGGGTTTTAATTTTCCAATAATCAATTCAATATTGCATTCTTGAAACGACTAGTGGGTTCAATATTCAAATAATCAATTCATTAATGTCATCTCGAGGGGTATGCTTCACTTGGTTTGACTGTAATAAACAGTCGTTTATCGTCACAGCTGCCAACACAACTGAATGTCACGCATGCTTCGGTGATGACGTGGCCAGCTGCAATGTTCAGCATTCTACACAGAGTTATAAGTCGCCTTCAAGTGAAAGCTGTTTCGCAGCGACAAGACGATTCCGGTATACCAACGCACCTGAGGATGTTCACATTGGTACTGTTCGAGGTTGTATCACCTGCACAAGTAAGAGAACTTTTGTATAACCGTTTGGTAAGCCAGTTGGAGTCATACAGCCAGCCAAGCAATCAAACAGACTAAAAAAAAGAGAGAGAAAGATAGATAGAAGGAGAGAGACGAAAAGGAATTGGAAGCTAAGGGAACATCAATTGACATAGAGAGAATGAGAGACAGATAGAGAGAGCTACATCCAAAAGGCGCCAGGGCCGTAGCAAGGCCATAGTGTATAAATAAAGTATATAAAGTGACTTTGAATTGGTCTTGACGTTCTTTACTAATGAACAATTTTATAACAACAACAACAACAACAACAACAACAACAGCAACAGCAGAGAACTTTCTGCGTTTGGCTTCACTTGCAGGAACAACTGAGTTTAAGAAATATGACTGAGAAAAGGTACATGTACAAGAAAACCACATGCGATGTCACAGCTAGATTTAGATGCCAGGGGAATGGTGATTGGCCTTCCAACATTGAGATATCAACGAACATTTGGCCAATAGAGCTGGAAATGTCGGACGCCTCACAATATCTCTATCCTGATCAGAATTATGTAGCGCACCGTAGTAATTTTTGTGTTCATTCATTTCAATAGATTTATCTTCGTAGTAATTGTCTTCTTGTGTTATTTCCTTGTTACAGATAAAACTGCAGCCTGTGAAGCTGTCACTACTTGGTTTAATGCTAAGCCGCAGAACCGAACCTTGCTAGATTGTAACATTGAGTGCTGCACTAGCAACAGATGCAACGATCAGCCGGTTCCTGTAATTCCTGTTGACCCAGCTGATGACTCTACAGTTGCCACACCTGCGAGCTCCACCGTTGTCGCTAGTCATGCAAGTTATCAGGCCTCAGTACCTGTCGTATTGGCCTTAGCAGTAACCAGCTTTTTCGCACTTTGCTGTTAGAAGCAGTTTAGTGAGCCCGATTAACAAATAGGTTTTAATGGTTTTAAGCCTAACTTAATTGCACCGTAGCGTGATGTATACATTAAAGAGGCTTTCCACAGTTAATAGACATATTACATTGTCGTTGAAAGTACTGAGTTATTGTAGTATAGACAAGGTGTAACTTGGAAAAATAAGCTAGCACATTTTCGGGAAGGCCCAGATTCAGTTTGTCTTTGTGCTTACAAGAGCGCTTGTTCGCGTGCTTGTCAGTTTCAGCTCCAAATTGGAATTTTTGAGAAAGTTCGGCTGAACATCAAGAAACCGTGTCACGGTATAATCTTCGCCATTCTTTTTTATACTACAGACGACCTCCAAACTCATTTGGAATCTTTTGAAAGCCTCCATTTTGATTTGCAATGCAATACAGTCTTTGCAACTTTGTATTGGTTTATTACTACTCTTTCTGCCGTTGTTTTGTAGAATATGTTACTCAATGTAAAAGGTTTTCACTGTTTTGGTAGGACTTGAACTTGTGATTAATGTTAGTTTCTTTGGAATCAGCTGTGGAAACTTGCAAACAGCTAATGCAACATTTTAATTAAACGTAACCTACCTGTAATACTTAGCTATTTGTGTACTGTCATAGGCACAAGACACACACTACTTTCAACTTGTTGTCGTCAAAATTATTGTGAATTGAATTAGTTTAATTAGAAAGGCCGGTAGGGCGGGGAGGAGCAACGAGCAAGCAGCCTTATTGTTACATACGCTAGTACGTGAGTGACAGCTGGGGAAACGGGAAACGTGCCGACCTATGAGATGAAGTTGCATATTTAGCTTGTCTCTTATTTCAAAAGAAGCTTAGTTGATCTCGCTCGTAATTCCAACAGGAGAGATCAACGCGTGAATAAAATAGAACATAACATTTATAACACGACTGATTAATAAAGCACTACATGGCATTGCAGTATTGTGATATAAAAAAAAAAAAAGAACTGACAGATACCTCTTCTTCTACTGTCTTCTAAATACGTAAACTGAACTAACCGTGAAGATATAATGAAAAACCTGTAAATTGATTAACACACTCATTTCCCCCAACAATATCGGAAAAGTGGTTTCGTGTCTCCTACCGGCTTAAATAACTGTTTCCATCTGCTTCGATCTTTGTAGTCGGTAGTCCTGGCTTTACTCACACAAAGCCGGGCTGCAGCCTTTCATCAAGGATGTTGTATCCAAGGGGCTATAACGGGAAAGAGCTTTGGCCATGCCATGCAGGACTGATGATAGGTTGGGGGTTTAAGGAAGGTGGGGGGGGGGGGGGGGGAGGGAGCCTTACATGTAGATGCAATAAGACGAATTTAACTCTCACTATGAAATCTCTTTACATCCCAGGATTCTATCTTTTGTGCGTAACGAGATTTCGCGATTTCTGGGACTTTCTGACACGTTTGGTAGTATTTGATTCTCTCGTAGGAAAAAGGAAGACTAACTATGGGCACTCTCTCTTTCGGATCTTATACTTTGTCAACAAAAATACTGGCTTGTTTCGTTTTTGATTAATGCGAAATAACACGCATTTCTACAAGGCCACTTGTAAGAAACTCGAGTACCATTATTTACAACTAGTAAACAACAAGGAAATTCAAAGAAGTCGTGCGTCGCAAGGAATGAGCAGAAATATAAAGGTGATCGAGACCCGAGGAAAAGGGTATTATGCTTCTTATATTAATTTGGTTTGAAAGTCTCAAGAAAGCTGTGTTCTTATCCTGGAGCTCTTCTTTA